GTCTTTTAAATGTAAAAGCAGAATAGACACTTCTTAAAATTCTTGAAATATACTTAGTGTTTTTTGAATAAAATCGCTGATTTAGTACTTAACATGTCGGTCAACTAGCTTAGTGTCTGTTCTCAAGCGGAGCTAACTGTAGACAGACAGCTTTAGTTTCGTATGAGTTGACACTCCATCCTTTCGTCTTTGTTATTTCTGCTTAATAAATGTTTACGTTTGTAATGGTTGCTGCCATTGCACTGCATAATACTTGATTGTTGACGATAACTAAGTTTCACCAAGCATGAAATTTATCAAATGTTTTGTGTATTTCACAGGAGTGTTTTCAAAATAATAAAATACAAGACAACAACATAAAAGCTTTAGCCACCCAGCGTGAAATTAGTAATGTATAGTTTATATAACATGTGTGCAGTTGATTATGAAAAAAACCCAACTTATACAGCGAATTGGAAAAAAATTTCTGGGCGTCATTTTTCACATTCTTATATGCACTGGGATATATCAACAACAAATTATGTTATATATAACAAACACATTTCTGCTCGGCGGGTAACCGGTAAAACATCTTTCGTGGCTATACAAAATCAGTGAAATAAAAACGAAACTTCAAAACACATCAAGATGTGAAAAAAAATGCTATAGTTGAATAAAAAAATTGAAATAAAAAGTTGTCCCCGCACATCAACACATTTCTGCGCGCTACTGTCCTGTTTAAGTTCTTTTGCATATATCAAAAATACAGCTACAATTGAATTATACTTAGAATTATCAAAAGTCGTGTGGCCTGTTCCTAAAGCAACGACTGCGAGTTTAACAACATCTGGACGTTGCTAGATTATTTTAGAATTCCCGAACTTTTTCGCTATCTTATCTACAGACACGTGAACAGTAGCATCCAATCAGAGGTTGTGACATAGCGACCCCCACGGAAACCTTGACATTGAACGAACCTTGAACTTTGCAACTCAATTATCACAATAAACTATAACACATACTTATGTAAAAACAGCTACTTATTCAGTTTTCTCTGAACGTTATCAAGCTCTGTTTTTCCATAAGTATGTCTTATAGTTTATTGCTCTATCCAGTTACTAAATGCCTCTCAAAGATTATCAATTATCACAGGTAGACATTTTAGCTGATGGGCTCCCAAGCAGGGTGAGTACCCAATCGAAATTAGTGCAAAAATAAGCAGGGTATTACGTGAAGGCCTTGATAAGATGTACGGAGTTAAAGCGAGATCAAGCCTTCTATTGAAGATAGAGTCGTGGTGGCTCGGTGAACGACATGATTACGGTGTTCGCCGAAAAAGTACCTCGGGATTGCCTAGTCTGGTCTTGCCTCGTCTTAGAGAGAGAGAGAGAGAGAGAGAGAGAGAGAGAGATTGGGTTTAGCGTCCACTCAACACAAACTAGGTCATTTCGGGACAAACACATGGTTCAATTTTATATCAAAAATTCGCTTGCGGGTAAGGGGCCTTTAGCAGTGAGAGGAAATCGGAGGACCACGAGGATACCCACGAGGTTAGACAGGCGACCCTACTCCATGTCGCGTACAACCGGGGAATCGAAACTACGCCATTTGACTCTATGACAGAACTTATGATACAGTGCGTACGTGCTAACCATTCGGCCATTCGGCCATCCAACCCCCCTCTATTTACATAAAACGTATAATCCTAATAGAAAGTATAACAACAACAGGTGTTATCTTTGCGACCTCTTCAAATTAGAAAAGGTGTCTGATGCTGTAGACAGAGCGAGCCTCCCCGTCGCGATTAATAACCAAACACAGCCATAGATTAATAATTTCACATAAATAAAAATGAGTTTAATAATAAACAACTACCTTCTTACGTTGGGTGTCATGTTTAAACATTTCTCATCCCAACCCAAAAAATACCCTTCTATTGTAATATTTATTAGATTGGATATAAACAAACTGGGTGAATATAGCCCGTTGAATAACATCACTCATTAAAATCACCATATTAACACGTACACAAGGGACGGGTGGTAGGGTGGGATCTACAGATCACATGACCCTGTTTAAAATATGTTTAAGGTATATAAAGGCTTCACCCCGAGAGGTATGACGAGTCATGATCGTTGCTATTCAGTTCCGCTGTGGTACTCGCGAGGAATTTTAATCTTTCTTTCTCGGTAAACATTACTTTATGAAGTTATAATTTGTTCAACAACCTGTACAATGTTCATGTTTATCGGCCTTGTTTATTTTGAAACACTTGACGGATTTATTTATGAACTTACGTTCATGCAAAAAAAGGGGCGGACTCACGGTTAAATAAATATTAAGTTTTGACCCATATTCCATTGGATATATGAACATTGTTTTTTTTTTATTGATGTAATATCAAAGGCGGGAGGGGATGGGGGTGGAGGGGTTTGAGTGAGTGTTTTTTACATCCCCTATTGGGAATAATATAATATTACAAAGATTTTTGGGGGCGCTGTTTTTTTTACATCCCCTATTGGTTATGATATAATATTACAAACATTTGTGGGGCGGGGTGGTTTTTTTTTTCATCCCCTATTGGGTATGATATAATATTGCCAATATTACAAACATTTGGGGTGGGGGGGGGGGGCGGGGTGTTTATTTTCTTTACATCCTTATTGTGTAGGATATAATATTGTAAACATTTGCGGGACGGGGTGGTTTTCTACTTGTACCACCCCTATTGGGGATGATATGTTATTACAAACGTGTTGGGGCGGGGTGGTTTGTTGAAACCCCTATTTAGAGTTATATATTCTTATAAACGTGTTGGGGGCGGGTTGACTTGTTACAACCCCTATTAGGAATGATATAATATTAAAGAAGGTTAAGGGGGCGATGTGGTTTCTGACAACCCCTATTGGGAATGACATAATATTGAAGACGGTTGGGACGAGGTGGTTTGTTACATTCCCTATTAAGGTTCTTATAATATTACAAAGGGTTATAAGATGGGATGGTTTGTTACAACACCTAGTAAGGTTGACATTACAAAAAGGGGTAGTAACAGGGGCTCGTTGGTAACAAGATACGTATTTTTCTAGTTCTATTATAAATACAAATTTATGAAATTTATAAAGATAAAGAACTATACCTGGCCATTGTATTGAGGATTTAAAGGGGATTATCATATGTGATATTTGAAGACGATACATGATTCTGTAATGATAGTGTATTGAAATACCCAACGAGTAAGGACAGTTCACTAACCATTATAGGCCATCATTATGCGATGACCCATAAATAACACATTCACGTGACTGTCCCCATAAATCGTCATAGCCGATAAATCGCCATAGATAATCAACCGTCACAGATTATTAATCGTCATAAATAATCCATCGGCATAGATAATCCATCGTCATAGATAATCCATCGTCATAAATAATCCATCGTCATAGATAATCAACCGTCATAGATAATCAATCGTCAAAGTTAATTAATCGTCGTACATAATCTATCGGCATAGATAATCAATCGGGGAACCAATCAATCGTCACAAATAATCATCATGAATAATCCATTGGCATAGATAATCCATCGGCGTAGATAATCAATCATCACTGATATCAATCGTCATAAATTAGTGTTGAGATATACCGATTATATGTTGCCGGGTGGACCAGCATTAAGGCAATAGCTATACTATATACACGAAAGCAAGTTAATTTAATATACTATATAAACTTCATGTAGATCTTGCTCATCACACACCGGCGCAACCCAATTCAATACTATATTTATACCTAAAGGGTTCAACTCCTTTATCGTGCGATCTACTGCGTCCACAATCTGCTACGTGCAGATACATTCAGACACGTTTCGATACGATCAACACGATTGCTGCGACTGGCTTCAATATATATGATAAAACCTGATAGGATTACTACGAATACTCCACAGTTAAAACCATGATTTCAATCATAGCACGGGGTGTGTGCACGCTGTATCATAAAGTCTGTCATTGAGTCAACTGGCGTGGTTTCGATTCCCCGGTTGTACGTGACAAGGAGCAGGGTCGCCTGTCCAACCTCGTGGGTTTTCTCCGGGTCCTCCGGTTTCCTCCCACTGCTAAAGACCCCTACGCGCAAGCGAATTATTGAAATAAAATTAAACCATATATTAGTCCCGAAATGACCTAGTTTGTGTCGAGTGGACGTTAAACCCCATTTTCTCTCTCTCTCTCTCTCTCTCTCTCTCTCTCTCTATCATAGCACAGATCGTGATAGTGGAAACCTAGCATAAGCAACGTAAAAAATAAATCGAATGTGGGCATATATATAAATTAATATAATTTAATTAAATCAACACCGAAGAGTGTACAATTTAATATGTAAGCAGTTGAAAAAAAAATACAAATCAACATAGCTGTATGAATTCCTCATTTAAAAAGTGGTATCATGTATTTAAACTTTGTATTGGCAGGATCCAACAATAGACCACTTCTAACGCTGTATATGACAGGGCCAAATCATAGAACGCTTCTAAGGTTGAATATGACAAGACCAAACCATAGACCACTTCTAAAGTTATATATAACAGGACCAAACCATAGGCGGTATCTAATTTTCTGTATATGACAGAGTACAGACCAAACCATAGAACGCTTCTAACGTTGAATATGACAGATCAAACCATAGACCACTTCTAACGTTGTATATGGCAGGACCAAACCATAGACCGCTTCTAACGTGGCATATGACAGACCAAGCCATAGAACGCTTCTAACATTGTATATGCCACGACAAAATCATAGAACGCTTCTAACATTGTAAATGACACGACAAAATCATAGAACGCTTCTTAAATTGTACATGACACGACAAAACCATGGAACGCTTCTAGCGTTGTATATGACAAGACCAAGCCTTAGAACGCTTCTAACATTGTACATGACACGACAAAATCATAGACCGCTTCTAACATTGTAGACACGACACTCTTTGTATTACATTTTCGTTTAATTGTTCTTTCAGCCAAAACCCAAACATTTTGCGGTTTTGAAGATCCGAATATATGTGGCTTTACCCAAATTAGTGGTACTGTAGGAGATGATTTTGATTGGACTAGGGCCCAGGGTAAAACACCATCAGCCAACACAGGCCCTCTTAAAGACCATACCTGTGAGAGTGAAAAAGGTGAGAATTTATTTACACTATCAAATTGAAATAAAGGTTGTGAAAAGGGGGGACAGTATGTAGAAAGTAACTTAAATAAACATTGTGAATCATCAATGAAATCGGTATTGTGCATTAGGGATTTGATTGTCTTAGCCAATGCACTTTCAAGGCATTCTAAACAATACAAATAATATTTCCATTGACGTTTGACTAAAAATCACTAAAAAAAGATAAGAGGGTGGGGTGGAGTCCGTGTGTTTATTTTGTTTTTACTTAGGAATTCATGTGAAAAAAATATCCATGTTACGGGTTTGTTCACAATGTTAGAGCCAGAAGTGTTAGATTTTATTTGGATGAAATAGATATTCATATATACTCTTCAAAAAAAAGTAGGGATATTGAAATGCAAATACCTATGCAGGTTGTGATATGATAAATAGTCATGGACACTTGACATGCGTTGAGAGTATATTCATAGATGAAGAACTTATCTCCCAAACAGAACCACTGAGCTGCACATGCGACACGCATGATTGCCATACACGTGGGAGGGGTTCATTGTCAAATTTGACACTTCAAGGAAGGGTTGATGACAACTGCCGCGTGCTGGTTTATCTATCCATGTTTGCTTTCCTGTCGGTTCTTGCATACGATTTACTGTTTAGCGTATCTTTGCTTTAGTGTGTTACGTTTAATTTGATCGGGAGACGTGTTCGTCGACGTCAACGTTAACCGACAACACTGCAAGAATTGGCCGTGGCACTGCAAGATGGGTGGGTCAGATTGCCCCAAATTGTGATTGAACGGTTGATGTTGAGCATGAAATAAGGCCGTCAGATAAGCCGCCCATATGAACTGTTTATGTTCATGTGTAGGTAATTGGCCTGTTATTAACATACACTTGTTGCCTGTAATAAAACAGCAGTGCATTTCCGCAGTTGTGTATTGTTTCTGAATATCCCCTACTTTTTTGAAGAGTATAATAAAATTAAGTGATAGAACTTACTTCCCACAATATCTTTGAATTACAATCACTATTATATACTATTCAAGTGGACATTTTACATAACACACTTTTAGAAATATCAACTTGTGTATAAACAATCAAGGAAATGAAGAAGGGGATACGACGTCAGTTAATTGTTTCGTGTTAAAGGACAATATTGGCGCCAGTCATTATCACATATGTGATAGAGCTGGTTAAACACGTTCCAAATATAATTTTAACACAAAGATCATTGCTACGATAGCTGAGTAATACAGGTTTCCTGATTCGGAAGTGACGAACGCCAAAGGAAAACACGAGTCATCCCTCTATATAACTGACTGAAGTGACGAGTGATAACAGATACATGGGCGAATTTCTACTCACTAATAATTCCTTCCAAGACCAAAAGTTGTTGTGTGAGACTGTGAGAGGATATCTGACAATTCGTAAAAAGAATTGACTGCCACTAGATAAGAGAACACGAAAGAAAAACAGAAAAGGTCCGTGCATTACCATGTTTTTATAAGGTATAGACTGAATATAAACAACCTGTGTTAAAATTATATTTGGAATGTGTTTAACCAGCTCTATCACATATGTGATAATGACTGGCACCAATATCGTCCTTTAAGATACAAGGCATTCCATGTGACGCGTACACAATAAATTGAAACATTTCCAGATACATTTTGTGAATGCGTGTGTACTTTCAGGTCATTTTATGTTCATTGAAGCTTCTGCCAAAGGCAAGGGAAACAATGCCATAATTTATTCACCCTTATATAGGGGTATGACTCAACAGTGTGTGGAGTTCTTCTATCATATGAATGGACGACACATTGGTACGCTCAATGTCTACGCTAGGGTAAGTAGTAATAAAATAAAACCAAGTACGAACAATCCAAACCATTAGACGAAATTCGAAGTCCTTAGGGATGTGTGGTAGCTGTAGACAGGTGAAATACCTCTTTATGGCGAAACACAATTATTGTTGTCCTATTCAAAGATGACCTTTTCCTTATTCTTTCTAGAACATCGGACACCACTATCCGAGAATTTCCATCGCTAACAAACTTTTGTTCTCCTTTTCTTTGGGGATCACGTGGCTAAGTAGGTAAGACGCTGGCTCGCTAGCCTGGAGGTCGGGTGTTCGATCCCTGCATTGGCCGAGAAAGTTCATCCAGATTTTTCGGCGTGGTTTCCCCTTGTCAGTGATGCAGGACGGAGGGCCTGACAAGGGCAGTTGTCTAGTCGTTCGGATGGGACGAAAAACCGAGGTCCCGTGTACAAATTGGCGTGCACGTAAAAGATCCCTTGGCAGTTGGAATTGGATATAAGAGTAGGCCGTAGCGCCGCTACTCGGTCAAAATTCCCTCATAGCACACTGTATGGCGTATGCCCGTCTTCATTAGACCAGTTTAGGAGCAAAACAGTAGGACGTTAAACCCCATTTCATTTCATTTCATTTCTCCTTTTCTTTATTTAAATCTCTTGGCTGGTGACTGACCGGTGGACTTGGGGCTAAGATATCTTCTGGTAGTAGGCTTCTGAAATCCAGGTCCAAAACATGAAATTAAATGGAGTTTAACGTTCTACCTTTCTGCACAAACTGGGGGGTATGAAGTCGAAAGGTCCAATACATCACACCTGTTAAAGTGGTGCAGGATTGCTGTTCCAGAACATCTGGTACCATTTCTCATTTAAGGAGTCCACATAGCTAACAAAGGCGGCCATTTTACTCACTTTTTCCCTCAACATGAAATAATGTTTAACGTTCTACTGTTCTGCTTCGACCGTGCCAATAAAGACGGGGTTTCCCCTTAACATGAATACTGGTCTATGAAACCAACCTAATGTAACTAATGAAAATCAACCAGGCACATTATTAGCTCTTTAAGATATTGGTATGATTTATTTGCTAGATTTATTTGCTAGATAAACGTTACGTCGAAGTCATGTAGAAGGGGAATAAGAACACGATAGAAGTCACATCAACTCAAGATTAGTGTAGAATTTAAAATACCTGAAATACAATTATTGTGAACTTTCCAATTAAATTTTAATATGATTGAACCCTACCTAGTATGGCTAAATAGGCCGATTTACTTGGATTGATATCTGTTGTCTATTTCTTGCAATATCTGCTTAGTTTGTCGTGTCCGCAGCATTGTCCTATTGGCTTTGCTTTGCGTGTTCTCCTAGACTTACTATTAGTCCACAGCTCCCCAAGTAAGCAACACGTGTCCCATGGATTAATTCACATAATAATTGACAATCAATTTGTCATATCATAACTAAGGGAGGGGGTGGGGCGAATGTTGAACGCGTGCGCGTTGGATCATAAGGTCTGTCATTAAGTCAAGTGGAGTGGTTTCAATTAACGGCTTGTACGTGACAAGGAGTAGGGTCGTCTGTCCAACCCCATGGATATTCTCAGGGTCCCCTGGTTTCTCCCACTGCTAAAGACCCCTACACGAGCGAATTATTGAAATAAAATTGAACCATATGTTAGTCCCGAAATGACCTAGTTTTTGTCAATGTTCATGTTAAACCCCATTTCTCTGCCTGTCATATAACTAACTTCAGGCGTTTGTTTGTATCTGAATAGGAATCATGTTAGTCTTATCTGTAATGGTATAATTTCAGGCCAGAGGTGCGGAGTTAGATTCTGTTTGGAGGGCCTACGGTAACCAGGGTAACGTCTGGTCGTTTGCACGTCTGGGTATACCTAAAGAACTGGCAAGAGCCGGATATCAGGTAAAAAACTAGCTAATGAAATTGAAAATCATGGGTGGGGGTTGTGTAAGTTCGTCAACACATTTCAACGCCATTCAACTCGAACTCGCTTCATGTGTATCCATACCCCCTCCACGTCGCCACACATTCAACTCGAACTGACTTCATGTGTATCCATACCCCCTCCATTTCGCCATTTATTCAACTCGAACTGACTTCATGTGTATCCATACCCCCTCCATTTCGCGACACATTCAACTCGAACTGGCTTCATGTGTATCCATACCCCTTCATTTCGCCACACATTCAACTCGAACTGGCTTCATGTGTATCCATACCCCCTTCATTTCGCCAAAAATTCAACTCGAACTGGCTTCATGTGTATCCATACTCCCTCCGCGTCGCCACACATTCAACTCGAACTTGCTTCATGTGTATCCATACCCCCTCCACGTCGCCACACCTTTGACGAAGTTTCATAATTACACAAATCTACGACTAGATCTTTTTCTTAAGGGCACCAGAATTCGTCAAAGTCGCTGAGATAGAAATAACGTTAGGGCAGGTGATTGTTGGCGAGATTGTGGGTTAGGGTTTGGGTAAGGGTTAGGGTTAGTGCTAGCCCTGTTTACATCTCGTGAAGCTGGGCTTAAGAAATAGATTTAACCATAAATATACTGCTGCTGAGATTTTCATTCAACCCCATCCCGTTCCTGGAAAACACATGGGTGGTTAACTGCAACTGAGTGGAAAATTTGGTTGCTCGTTTATCAATAGACAAAACCTAGAACAACCACCCCTCACCCCTCTAGTTCTCACAATGGGCCACATGTTCAAGTGGTTCTCAATCATTTATTGGTCAGTGGCACACCTTGGAACACATGAAAAAATAACGACACGCCTGGCTAAATATATATTAAAAATATCTAAATTTGACAAAATAAGAACATGGCAAGTCTAGTTCTCACAATGGGCCACTTGTTCAAGTGGTTCTCAATCATTTATTTGTCCGTGGCACACCTTGGAACACATGAAAAAATAACGACACGCCTGGCTAAATATATGCGAAAAATATCTAAATTTGGCAAAATAAGAACATGGCAAGTCATAGACGGCATACAACTGTAGACACAGACTAGTCATAGACACATAGAACGACTCAAACTAAATAAAGATATGAACTTGCCAGTAGACACCAGTGAATACTCAATTGGGATCACGCTTTTTTTCGCATTTTGAAACTTTGCGGCACACTGTTTGAGAATCACCGTTGTAGATAAAGGTCGCCAATGGCAATGGCTTAAAAAGCGGTAAAATCAAGGGATCTGAAATGAAATGAAATGAACTGGGATTAAACGTGCTACTGATCTGCTCTGACAGAGTGTCTGAAAATAACAAGTTTATTCGAATATTCAATTGGGTTCGCGTTAGTGTGGCGATAAACTAGATATAGGTCGCCGATAGGAATGACTTAAATAGAGGTAAAATCAATGGGTCTGAAATGAAATCAAATGAACTGGTATTTAACGTACTGCTGACTAACAGTGTCTTTGAGCAGTCATAACAGCAAATTTATTCGACTGATTTCAGATTGCCTTTGAGGGAATCACAGAGAATGGTTACCAAGGTGATATATCAATTGATGACGTCAGTGTAACAGATGCCGCGTGTCCTGTAGATTCGGGAGTTACAGCCGTTCAGGTGGCCGTCAACTCCACAGAACTCATCAAAGCCGGCAAAAGCTTCGCTAGGAATTTAAGAAAGAAAAAACTGAGACGTGTCCCCAAACCTTAAAAACCTATCGATGAATAATTTCATCAGAGAAACTAAACGTCAATGGCAGCATTTTGTTCGACAGTTCTTAACGCTTCGGGTTCTTTCTTCGAATTAACAGATTCTGATAAATTTGTAATATATTCAGATTTGTAATGGATATTGTTCAAGCAACACAACTGCTCAAAGCTCAAATGCTGTAAATATGGCGTCGTTTTTAATCATGGTAAAATAGATAGAAATTCTCTAAACGCTTTATGCTACTCATTCGACATAATATAAATAATGCAATAATTAGTTAATTAGAATTAGTTTGTGGACAGGTTTTCGAATTAAAATTCATTTTAATAATCTGTAGCATTTAGGCTACGACTATAATAGAGCATATAATAACTTCTTGCTGAGAATATTTAGGATAATGTATAATTTGTTCACGACTTAATCCTGGCTAAATTCTATCCATTTGATTATTTGATATTTAATTAAGAACACAAACCCAAACTTTCAAGTGGGGTTGAGTGGTCGATTGAATAAGGCGTGCGCGTTGGATCATTGAGTCAAGCGGTGTGATTTCGATTCCCCGCTTATACGTGGCAAGGAGTAGGGTTGCTGTCCAATCTCGTGGGTTTTCTCCAGGTCCTCCGGTTACCCCCCCCACCCCTTCCACACTGCTAAAGCCCCCGCGCCAGCAAATTATTGAAATAAAATTGAACCATAGGTTAGTCCCGAATTGACCTAGTGTGTGTCGAGTGGACGTTAAACCCTATTTCTCTCTCTCACCACAAACTTTCAACGGTATATTTAAAAGAGGCCTATCAAAATATTTACTCAACATTTATAAGTGGTCCTGGATAGGATGCTGAATTGTGCGAAATTACGAAATCATTATATCTGTAAATACTGATTGGACTGTGCAAGACATTCTGCACTCAGAGAACTATTTACTTTACTTTGAGAATAGATCTCTGTTCTAACTGTCCGCCATTTCCAGCCATTAGTATACTGTTTTGTAATGCGGTCCAACTTCGGCTCACACAAAACCTTTTCAATTTTATTAAATGAAAGTAGAAAAAAAACTTCTCAAAATTTTCATAATATACGTTTCATTTACTGGCGTACTGTTAAAAATGGCAAAATCCTCCGAACAATAAAAATAACAAAACAAAAATTTAATTATTATTTAAATGTTTATGGCATACTGTTAAAAATGGCAAAATAGTCTGGAAAAATAAAATTAGCGAAATGAATTGTTAATGATTAATTTTGTTAATTCACTGTTCAACACGAACGACTCGTTAAATGGCATATTGTTAAATAATGCCGTTTGAATAATAGTTATGAGATTTAATAATATAACATTCGGAGTTCGTTAGTTCGTTCGCATTTTTTGAACACAGTTATTGAAAATAAAATGGCAAAATACTCTGAAAAATAAAAATAGCGAAATGAATTTTTAATCATCAATTTTGTTAATTCACTGTCTGTTCAACACGAACGACTCATTAAATGGTATACTGTTAAATAATGCTCTTTTATAGACATTAAGTAACTGGATAGAGCAATAAACTATAACACATAATTATGGAAGAACAATTACTCATTTATTTGGGCGACGTTTCGAAGAGTATTCTCTCAACGTTTTCAAGTAATTGTTCTTCCATAAGTATGTGTTGTAGTTTATTGTTAAATAATGCCCTTTGAATAATGGTTATGAGATTTAATAATATTATAGCATTCGGAGTTCGTTCGTTCGCAATTTGTGAACACATTTATGGAAAATATATTTTAAAAAAGTAAACTTATAATGTTATAAAAGATTTGTTTTTTAAAATAAGCATAGCTTTAATTTAACATCCAAGTAAAATAACTGTGCTTATTGCCTAGAATTCATTATTGTATTTTAGTAACCTGTAATATATGTGTTATTGTTTTAGGTTTTAATAAAACTAGTTTATATTTTTATTTGTCGGACTTGTTTGGTCATTCATAAAAACGGGTGTCGTTAACAAGACAGGGTATACTTATTCACTTATACCACTTATATATTTGAAAAGTTTGGTGACACTTTTCATGACAACCTAAATAAAAATGTTTATGGGTTGTGTTTTTCAAAAACATACCGATTTATTATTTGTCAATTAATTACATTAAAACCTATTTCATATCGATTGCAGCCTTAAAACAGAGGGGTTTGGGTGGTCGAATGGTTAGCACATGCGCGCTGTATCATAAGGTCTGTCATTGAGTCAACTGGCGTGGTTTCGATAACCCCGTTGTAAGTGACAAGGAGTAGGGTTGCCTGTCCAACCTCGTGGGTTTTCTACGGGTCCTCCGGTTTATTCCCACTGCTAAGTATTGTTTAATGGTCGAGAGCGAGACATTAAGTAATATATTGTAACAACATGAGGGCCGTGAGGCCCGAATGTTTTTACAATATTTATTACGCAATGTCTTAAGCTCGAGACCATTAAACAACTTAAAATACAGACACTTGCACGTGCTTTGCAATGAAATACGTCACTCGAGTTCAATATTTTACCAAGTTACGCTTGGCACATTGCCCGTACGATTATTTGAAATAATGGTACTCCAACATCAAAGGATGACGTCACATCTGTATTTTAAAGATCCCTATGCGCAAGCGAATTATCGAAATAAAAAAGAACCATGTGTTAGTCCCGAAATGGCCTAGTTTGTGTTGAGTGGACGTTAAACCTCATTTCTCCCTCACCCTTAAAATAGAAAAATAGAAATTGGGTTTAACGTCCATCTAAGACACGGATAGTACAGTTCGGTACAAGCATATGGTACAACTCTAGTGAAAAGAAACTTTGAGGCGTGACACGCCCCCCGATACTTCATGTTTTTTTCTTTCTGTAATTTTCATATTTTCGGAACTATCAAAATGGTACAATACATGCCCAGTGTTAGTTGGGTGAAGAAATCTCCGATAACGTGACGTATAACCCTACCTCGGACCAAGAAAATGAGCTCCATCAAAAGTTTGTTTTACAAGGAAATCATGAAATGAAATGGGGTTTAGGCCAATACAGTGTGCTATGATGGAAATTTTACCCAGTGGCGCTACTCTTATAGCAAATTTCAATTGCCAAGGGTAATTCTGCGTGCACGCCAATGTGTACAACTCGACCTCGGTATCTCGTCCCATCCAAACGACTATACGTTGCCCCTTGCCAGGCTGTTTGCCCTGCATCACGGACAAGGGGAGACCACGCCTGAAAATTCCCGATGAAATTCCTGGGCCAACACCAGGATCACACACTTAACCACAAAGTTATCGAGCCAATATCTTTCTCACTGGGCCACGTATCCTATAGAATTATATGCCAATCATATTTGGCGGGCTATAATTTGCCATCAACTATATTGTACATGTAAATGTATCGTTGATTTAGATTAATATCTCTTTTTACTCTGATATTTAGCCCAGGCTCTATGCATCAATTTCTTTACCATTTCCGGTTCCGCCATTTTCATTAATAAACATTCACTTTGATTGATACTGAATGGTTCATTCCAATCTGACGCTGGAACAACTAGAGGCACGTTCGATTTCAAATAACTGAATTCGCAAAAATCCTTGACTGAACGTAAAATAATCTTCAAATGGTGAACCTCTAAAAAGAAATCGCCATCTGCTTTTGTCAAATCTCTCCAAAACTTTCTTTTGAAGTGTTCGTAAAAAATATAGTCCGCCGCTAAAATTTGTATCAATTGTTGTCGATTGTGTGAGGTCAGTGCGTAATTTTGTCTTTTGAGATTCTTGTTGTGCACCATGTAAAGGATATCCCGAAAATCCCAACAAATCTGTCTTCTTAAGTACACAAGTGATTCATCAAAATACTCCAAGAGCATAACAAAATCAAATTCCTGGTCTAGATTGTTCACAAGTTTTAACGCCCTGTCCCTTTCACCCTGTGTGTATGGGGGTAACCCGAAATCCTCTCCTTGTCCGGCCAGGGTTTGTGTTTTTGAGAAGAAATCGTCAAAGATATAGGGGTACTTCGTCATGTTTATCTGTGATGGGTAAAAATAAAACATGGATGACACGAAATTATCCTCTGGTTCTCTTAATATCGAAATTGTGACGTAATCAGGGGGCATAACTCTATCATAGGCTGTTTTATTATACGTGGTATGGGTTGTTATCAGATTGTAATCCTGACCGGGTTTTACGGGAATTAAAGATGATTGGTCCAATTTACTATCTCTGATAATCCAAAATGAATCTGTGAATTCTTCAGATTTGGGTAAAACAAAATTCAAATCGTTTCGAAGTCCAAATCGCTGTAAAATGTTTGAAATAGTGCAACTGCCAGATTTGTGTGTTTTTAGAAATGCTATGTTTAGTTTCTTTGTGCATTTAGTAGGTATATTTTCCGAATAGACAGCGATCTCTGATTTTACCACGGGTTCGTTATGTTCTGTATCCTTCAGTTTATGCTGTTCCTCGGCCATGACTTTTGAACCAGAATTATTTACTTCCGGTACAGGCATGGTCACTTCCGCTCTGGATATACTCGTACTTCGGTTGGTTATATAATGCCTCTGGCGTTGCTGTTGTTTCTGTGGAATTACTCTTTCTTCCGCTGGATTTGATAAAAGAACCAAAGCCACTGTCATGTTGATTATCCTGAATTGAAGAAAAAATGTCAGTCGTTGATAGTAAGTGGAGGATGGGGTGGGGGGGGGGGGGGTTACCGCACACAAACAATTACACAAGGCAAAGCTATGGACAGGAAACAATATACGGACGCCAGAAACATATCAGAGCAAGTGAATGGGTTATAAACAGAAATTGTATTCCATAGAATCGTGTCGCCTTCTGTGCATTTTTAGTGGGTTCACATGTCTAAAATTACATATCTTTGTTTCGAATTATTAATATTGGAAGTCGACGTTTTTAATATATATCTTTATTTCAACTGTTGGCTTTATTTATAGACATCAAATTGTCGATGATGTCCGATAGACAGAACCTAGAACAAATCAACATGTTATCAAATTAATTGAAATAGTCATTTTCGACCCAAATCGAAGAGGGAGGACGCCCCCCCCCCCCCCGCATCTATGAAACCAATATGACATAATCTGAAAAAAAAACCCAACTGACCCTTACATTCTAGAATAACATTAATTTACTGGATACTTAAATTAATTCAATAGTTTGCGTTTTATTACGTAATTAGTTGACAATCACTGTGGGATCGGTTTGGAAGTTGCACGCACGCCCCCCCCCCCCAAACCACTACACACACACCTATTCAAAGCTTCTAGCTATATCCACAACAGCAAAGACATCTTGTCAATTTACGGTGCAGAAACAATGGTAATCCAATATAACCCTTTTTGTGGAAGTCAACAACAACTCCTGTTATCAACGTTCTGTAAAGAAATGCCTCTGATCAAACAGAATATTATTCTTGAGAAGCAATACAATTTTGAAAAGAAATGTCTTACCCTGTTATTAAGATATACTTTCCAATTCTGTGCCAACGAGGAGTCATAATGTTCACTGCATTCACATGTTTAGTCCAGAGCGACTCTCAGTGAAGGATGTATAATATAGGGTATGATAGTCGTCAACTTTTATCAATATTTATAAAGTATATTAAAATGTAAAACTCAGATGAAATTATTCAAACACCTGTTACTATGCATTAAAGATACTTTCCCAGAAAAGTATTTATCGGGTGGTTTTTTCCAATAAAAGTATGTCAAATTTGGTATATATGGAAAGTATAGACACCCAATCTTACTAGAAAAATACTGGATTACCCGAAAAACGCCCTGGGCAAAATTGTCAGGGTATCACTAACTGGCAACCCGACTGTTATCTGCCAGCTTATTGTGTTCCAGCTTAAGTGAGGGAGCGGTTGTTATTTCTTCATCAAATGGTTAGGCGGTTTTGAGAACATTGAGGGGTGTCAACGTACAAAAAACTCTGCAATTAAAGGACGGAAAAAGATCTTGACAGAAATAATTAAGAATTTACTTAGGCCTCAATATGTATCGTAAATGTACAGTAAGTAATGATAAATACAGTTTGAAAAATGGAACCTCCCACAATGAAGCTAAGTTGACAGACATTGCGTCTAACAACAGCTTACTTATAGCTATAGGTATCCCCGGCAAATACAAAGTTTTAATAGGGAATTGAAGCAAATTTTTGATAGATTGATTACTTTGAATATGTTTTTAGTCCAAATATATCATCAAATCACAAAGTTTGTACGCGGGAATGTATCTTTAAAAAGAAACAGAACAGTTCAGGGAATATTTATCGTATTTGTGTCAATAGTAACGTGTGGACAGTGATGCATTGATAGGGTAGATACTGTGGGCCGACGTTTAGACCATCGACGTTTTCAGCCACAGAGGTCCGGGTCACGGCGTGGGAATTTTGCCTGGACAGCGGCACTATCGCCTACTCTTATATCGAATTCCAACTGCCTTTTACGTGCAAGCCAATGTATACACGGGTCCTCGGTTTTTCATACCATCCGAACGACTAGACAGCTGTCCTTGTCAAGCTCGCCGTCCTGCACCACTGACAAGGGGAAGCCACGCCGGAAAATCCCGATGAGCTTTCTCGGCCAATGAAGGGATCGAACACGCGACCTCCAGGCTAGCGAGTTAGCCACTTTTTTTTATATAAATCTTTATTAACAAAAGAATATTTACGTTTACAGGCATCATATAATACAATTATGAATATAATGAATATATACATGTATATATATATATATATACAAGAGAGAGAGAAATGGGGTTTAACGTCCACTCGACACAAACTAGGTCATTTCGGGACTAACATATGGTTTAATTTTATTTCAATAATTCGCTTGCGCGTAGGGGTCTTTAGCAGTGGGAGGAAACCGGAGGACCCGGAGATAACTCACGAGGTTGGACAGGCGACCCTACTCCTTGCCACGTACAACCGGGGATTCGAAACCACGCCAGTTGACTCAATGACAGACTTTATGATACAGCCGCCGCACGCTAACCATTCAGCCATCCAACCCCCCCTATATATATATACAAGTTTAAAAGTTAATAATTTAATATAAGAGGGTTTAAAATAAATCTATGTACATTTTAAACGATGCCTGTATTTGAAATTTATAGTTGTAAATTATCCGAAAATGTATCAGGATCATGTATGGAGTATATGTATGAGCCAGGGTCCTACCCACTTAGCCACCGTGACTACCTCCGAAGTAAGGTACATAGTTATCTGTTGTGCAGAATATATATTATATAGACGAGACGTTAAACTTCATTCCATTCACAGAATTTTATATAAAAATTTTAATCAATGACAGTGTATTTATTGGCTAATATATAAAGTTGAATATTGATATTACATCCTGTTATTTTATTCAATAAACATAAATAACTGACAACAGCTTTCTGCTTACTATTCTATTTTGTATTGCTATAAGGGACTATACTTCATCCATAAATGGATGCAAACCACCATGATATGGATCCAAAACATTATGATTACACCCCCCCCCACACACACACATTGACTTTTATGTTTAATCTTTACACTTTGCCCGACTCCAGTTTGTGGTCAAGTTTTCGATGGGTGTTGAACGCTCTCCGCCACAGGGGAAGCAACATCTACCCATATCTTCCTAGCCTGGAGGTCGGGTATTCGATCCCTGCATTGGCCGAGAAAGTTCATCCAGATTTTCCGGCGTGGTTCCCCTTTGTCAGTGATGCAGGACGGAGGGTCTGGCAAGGACAGCTGTCTAATCCTTCGGATGAGACGAAAAACCAAGGTCCCGTGTATACATTGGAATGCACGTAAATTCCAGTTGGAATTCGATATAAGAGTAGGTCGTAGTGCCGCTGTCCGGGCAAAATTTCCCTCATAGCACACTGTATGGCGTATGCCCGTCTTCATTAGCCCAGCATAGGAGCAGAAAGGACGTTAAACCCCATTTCATTTCATTTGTACAAAACCGACACCTTTGGTCTATTGCCTTGCATTAAAATTGCTCAGTTATGTATGATTGAAACCAAAAAGGGATGATTGCTGTTCGTTCATTCGTAAAGCTTAACGCCATCTTCCGCCATGGCTGATACGCAGACAAGTGTTTCCTGAGAAACTTGCCAGAGGAGCCAGATCGATAAGAAGGCCTATTCGATTCCGTTTTCTTGAATAAAAGCACAATGTCTTTTGCAGGGTAGCGTCCTATTAATTTATACTCTCAAGCTAGTGAGATGAAAAAATGGAATGGGATGTAACGTCCTACTTTCCTGTACCAAGTCATGTGGTGTTCTATGGGATAAATTTAGCTCGGACAGGGGAGTTTCCACGAATCCCAACCGCCATAGGTCCCATTCGAGTGACTAGACACTTTTGGCCTTGACATTCCCTTCGCCCTGCACCACTGACAAGGAATGACCAGGCTTCCGGGAATCTGGCCCTGCCTGATTAGTGCATCGACGTCATACCCACCGCGCTTGTAATTGTCGATAACATTTGTGTATTAGTGCTCATTGGTCAAAGGGAGAGAACTCCATTCACTGGCTTTGATGCAATTTCAGTTTCATTAATTGACCCCACCCCCTATTTCAGTTCCTGGATCCATTGTCCATTATAAAATCACCAACTTTGATGACATCACATCAAATTTTATTGAAAGATCATGAATCGAATCCACTGGAAGCTTGATTTAAAAGATTTACATCAATTTATTACACAACAACTCACGGTCCATTTTGATCCCACAGCTAGGGTTCATGATCGTTTACAAAATGCCTATAGAAAATATCTTAGCAATGTCTCTCTGTTTACATTAATAAAACTTTGGAATTATTGATTCGACACTTTTTGGGACTATTAAAAACTTATCTTGTGAGTAGAAAACGGCGGATTGTTGTCAATAGTGTTCAGTCTTATTTTATTTTATAGCGCTGGACTGGCTTCTACTTTAAACGTGGAATAAAAACCACTAAATAAAAAGCACCCGTATTAATGTTTTGGAATAATATGTTTTACAATTTCCAATATACCGTAATCATTCTAATAATCGTTACCAACATTGTACAAAATAAAAGGTTTAATTGTTTAACATAAAAGGGCGGTAAACATTTAAATTAGAAAAAAAAATTATTAAGTTATTTGAAACTAACAATAACAGTAAATTAATTCATATCTTTAGAAGATAATAAGGCATTATAATATCTATTCTGATTAATGTTTCCACCCCGTTTTATTTGGCGTTACTAAACATTAATTAATATCGTTCTATTGACGTTTACTTTAGACACATTAGATGTTCCAAGAGCGTCAAATGAACCATCTAATACAACGTTATTTCCTTAGCCTTTTCGGACAGCCTGTAAACGTTAGTAAACTATTTTCTTCTAAAGTAAATTATGTAACGTTTTAGCTTATGATTCCTTGAACATTATTGAATTCTTTATTTATGAAGTTATTATTCATTCCATTGGTTTAAACAGTATTTATTTAACATATAATGACATATTAACAATACATAATAAACTATATGGATTCGGAAACAAGCTATGAGGCTTATATTAATCCGTCTCCAAGATAATAAAACAAAACATGGCATGTCTAAATTGCATTGAAATTATAATACATTGCGCGAAGATAAGTACATGTATAATATTGTGTCATTTTTGTCACCGTGGTATTAGAATGTACATAGTGTGTCCTCATCCTCGGGGCGGGCGGGCGGGGGCGAGGCGTGGGTTAGGGGGCTGGGGGAGTTTAAGCGTTTAATTCAATTTGATCAGTACTTTATCAATTTAAATCGTTTTGTAGCACTTATATACGAATGAACAATTTCAAAACAGGCCTGATTCTCACAATCATTTACTTTCGGGTTTCCGTCAAGAATTGCTGAAATATTGTGGAAATGGTAGGGGAGATTGTTGATGGTACGGATTCGTTCTTCCTTGTACAATGGACAGAAGAAGAAAAAGTGTTCTGTATTTTCCATGTAATAGCCACACTTACATGAAGGATTTTCGGAAACATGCATTAGAAATTTATGATAATTTAATGTGCTTTTACTATGTCTAAGTTGTGTATGGACGACATTTACTGAGCGATTACCAAAGTAGAAATATGAGGGGACTTGTTTATCATGTTTGGAAAGATGTTTTTTAAATATTTTAAGTGAAGAGGAATCTTTAACATTGGCAGGTAGATCATTCCAATCGCGAACTGTCAGTGGGACGAAGGAAGATTTATAGGTTTCCGTGTGACACTGGACAGATCTTAGAGAGTTGGTGTCGCGCAGAAAATATGGATTAATGTCAGATATCTTAGGTGGGACAAGAAGACATAAGTTTTGGGGGGCTAGTTTGTTTACTAGTTTGTAAAATATGGTTAACCTATGCCTATATCTTCGTTGTTTCATTCCATTGGATGTTAGTTTTTTAAATGCTCTGTTTTCCTAATCTTAAAACGTTTAACAAAACAAATAACTTCCCAATGAGGTTCATAAAAAAAATTTCTGTAGTTTTGACTAAGTGTTATTTGAGATGTTACATTCAAACTTTTGAATAATGTTTC